CATTGATATGTTTTCTTTTGTGAAGTATCTTAAATATTTTGTCCACTATTTTTACTCGGTTATTATTATTCCTTTTTTTTTTTTTTGAGACAGAGTCTCAAGCTGTCACCCTTGGTAGAGTGCTGTGGTATCACAGCTCACAGCAATGTCAAATTCTTGGGCTTAAGTGATTCTCTTGCCTCAGCCTCCCAAGTAACTGGGACAACATGCAACCACCACAGCGCCCACAGTTATTTTTAGAGACAAGGTCTTGCTCTGGCTCAGGCTGGTCTCAACTGGTCAGCTCAGGTGGATACCCACCTCGGCCTCCCAGAGTGTTAGGATTACAGGTGTGAGCCACTGTACCCAGCCTATTATTATTATTATTGAGATAAGATCTTGCTCTATTGCCTGGGCAAGCATGCAGTGGCATTATCACAGCCCACAGCAACCTTAAACTCCTGGGCTCAAGTGATCCTCCTGTATCAGCTTCCCAAATAGCCCTCACTACAGGCACAAACCACCATGCCCAGATATTTTTTCTTTTTCTTTCTTTCCCCTTCCCATTCCTTTCTTTTGTAGAGATGGGGGTCTCTCTCTTCCTCTGGATGGTCCCAAATTCCTGGCCTTAAATGATTCTCGTATCTAACCTCTGAAAGTGCTGGCATTACAGACATGAATCAGTGTGGTAGCCACTTTTTTGTTTGTTTTTAAATGGGTTTCAACCATTTGTTGAAAAGGCCATCTTCTCTCTATAAAATTACTTTGATACCTAAGTCACAAAATCAGCTGACCATTGTTCCATTGTTATATAAAGAATTTGACTGGCTTTTGTCAGGACACAGTCCGTGTTAAGTGGTAGGGCAGAGGGGTCCCTGAGGAGAGGGAGGTCTCTGGGAGAAGGTGACCCTGAGCTGGCTTCCCAAGGACAGGCTCAGCAAGACGTGCTTTAAAGCCTAAGCCCTTCAGAGGCACAGCACTGAAGCATGGGAACAGAGGCTCCTGTGCCTGGTCACTGCGGGGTCTTCAGGAAGGCCTGTGGCAGCATTCCTGGCAGCCTTCTGTGTGGCCACCCTGCTTCTCTCTGTCCCTCTGCCTGATTTCTGCCTCTGCTGACCAGCCTGCCCAGCTGACACGTGGGCTCCAGATGGCTTCCCTGGCCACCATGACTGCAGGCCTCCAGTGAAGATTTGTGAGAAAGCAGTCTGTCGGCAGATGCCCCTGGGCCCCCACCAGACACAGGCAGGATCTGACACATCTTGGTCCCTGGCTGTGAGCCTGGGTCCTGCCCTCAGGCCGTGGTACACTCACCATCCACCCAGCCAGAACCTGCTCCGCGGGCTTGCTTCCCCCTGAGAGTGGGGAGTGGGCCTTTTACCTCCTTATTGCCCAGACAGCCCCTTGGTGATGGAGAGGGGACAGGGACTCAGGACAGAACCCGGAAGGTAGGAGAGACAGTGCTGAGAGGGGTGGGAGGGATAGGCTAGTTGCTGACCTGTCTCTCATGTGTCCGTGTGTCTGGGTGTAAGCCTGAACACACAGTCCATGTTCCTAGAGGGTGTCCCCAAGGGGCACCAAGGAGCTGAGACCATGCTTTCCAGCTGAGACCGTGCTTTCCAGCTGAGCTCACCTGCCCAGAACCCAGACCCGGCCTGGCCTCTCCCCACCTCCCAGAGCTCCCCTCCCTCCCTTACTTGTCCCAGTTTCCCAGAGCCAGGAGCCAGGGCCCAGCGCATCTGGCCGGGCCAAGTACCTGCCTGGCTGCTGGCCACCAGTGGTGCTCATGAGGGCCTGGGATCGCCCAACATCCACAGGGCCCCTGTCTGTCTCTACTATTCCCTTTCATCTTCTCCTGGCTTTTGTTCCCTCTTGTTGGGACACAGGTCGCTGTCTCTGTGCCTCAGCTGCATCGCCCATTGACTCCTTCATTTCCCACGTATCCACTTAGAACCACCACATTCTCAGGCTTCTGCCCCAGTCCGTGTCCTCGGGATGCACCAAGGGTCAAGAGGATGGCAGTGACCCTCACCTTGCAAAAGTGAAATAGTCTCATGATGTCAGCTATGTTCAGAGCTAACATGTATGGAGGGTTTTCTAGGTCTCAGGACTGTTCTGAGTGCATTATAAGACTAAGCTTTCATCCTGGCTAGAACCCCAGAGAATGAGGACTTTTATCACTCTGCTTTACAGGTGAGAGACTGAGTAAAATCCAGTGGCTTGTCCACAGTTGGAACTCTGATCTTGATCACCTGCATGCTACCTCCAGGGACTGGCAGATGCTGAGGTCCATAGCACAGTGACACAATTCAGACTGTGAGTGTGCCTTGTCATCTGCAGTCTATTGTGTGCTGGTCTCTGTTTTGTTGAGGAGGCCCAGAGGCCACCCAAGGGGTCCAGGGTGACCCTAGGGAAGAGTGGTGGAGCTGAGGCTTGGGCCAGCGCTCTCCGAGGGTGGGCCAGGACAAGCCAAGGGGTGGTGGCACCAGGAGGAGGGTCATGCTCTGCACTGGCTTCATTCTGCAAGCAGCAGGAACCACTGAAGATTAGGGAGGACCAGGCACCCAGAGAGAGACAAGGACTCTGAGGGGACACCCGGGCTCTCATCCTGGTACACAGTCCCAGGCAGATCCTGACTCTTCACCTTCTTGGCTGCAGAGGCTCATGCGTGCACAGACACGCATCACACACACGTGCATACAGATGCCCACGTGCACACGGACACTGCTGTCATACAAGGCAGAGCATGAAAATGCTTCCTTAGAGAGCCAGGGCTGAGGGAGCCAAGAGATGGATGGTGTCTCCAGCTGGAGGTGGTGGGAAGGCCTCATGGAGGCTACAGGTGCTGCTGACTGGCTTTGTGGACAGAGAGAAGGTGCTAGAAGGAAGCCCAGAGTCCATTTGGCCTCTTGGGGTGGGGGGCCTCTGGGGCTGGACAAGAGGCGGCCATGCCTGGGTGCCAGGGACACACTGGGATGCTGCTGTCCGGGAGGAGCACTCCACCTGCCACACCTGCCAAAGACCTCCAGTGCATCTGTCTGCTGCCAGCAGGTCATTACTGTGCCCCTATAAACGCCAGGTGTATTACTTTGCTACTGCCCTTATAACAACCCACCACAAATCAGCCCCTTAGAAGATCACACTTTTATTATCTCACGGTTTCTGAGGGTTGGGTGCTCAGTGTGACAGAGTCGGGTTTTCTGTTTAAGGATGCACACAGCCAATAACAAAGTGTCTGAAGGTCAACTGGAAGAATTCACTTCCAAGTTCATTCAGGTCATCAGCAGAATTCAGTTCCTTGTGGTTGTACGATGAAGTTTCTGGTCCCCTTCATCTTCAAAGCCAGTACTCGGCTCGGCGCCTATAGCTCAACCGGCTAAGGCGCCAGCCACGTACACCTAAGGTGGCGGGTTCGAATCCCCAGCCCGGACCCGCCAAACAACAATGATGGCTGCAACCAAAAAATAGCCGGGCGTTGTGGCGGGTGCCTGTGGTCCCAGCTACTTGGGAGGCGGAGGCAGGAGCCTCGCTTGAGCCCAGGATTTGGAGGTTGCTGTGAGCTGTAATGCCACGGCACTGTACCCAGGGGGACAGCTTGAGGCTCTGTCTCGAAAAAAAAAAAGCCAGTACTGGAAGTCAACTCTTTCTCTTGCTTCAAATCTCTCTGACTAGCTGGAAAAAATTCTCTGCTTTTAAGAGTTCATGTGATTAGACTGGGCCTACCCAGACAACCCACAGTAATCTCTCTATTTTGAGGTCCATAACCCTTTGTGTATCTGCACCATGCCTTTTACCATGTAATGTAACATATTCACAGGTCCCAGGGAGGAGAGTGTTGACACCACAGACCACGGGGGTCACCCACCTGCCACTGAGGCCACAGGGCAGGAGGTAGGCACACAGCAATGGTGAAAAAGAGTCCATCTCCACCCTCATGGAGCTGACTGCCTAGAAGCAAAGCCTTAACGCACAAACAGAAATGTGAAGACAGCCTCAAAGGACATGCCAGGGCACACGCGGGACCTTCCCAAGCCAAGGGGGCTTTCCTAAGGATCTGAGGCCAAGTTCAGGTCTGGAGGATGAGCTGGAATCAGATGAAGGAAAGTTCTGGCAAACCATATTTCAGAACCAATGCCCAAGCAAGAAGCCAGGAGCATGGAACTGAAGGACAAGAGTGTCATAACTTGGGGAACCGAGGCAAGCAGGGGTCGGGAATGGCGAGGCCCAGGGCTCTGGGACAGTACTATCTCTAATAGCAGAGGGGATAGTTACTGACATTTAGGTCACTTGGTGCTCATAACACCTCTCTGTAACACCCAAGTTACAGGTGGGGAAACTGAGGCTCAGAGAGATTAGCTGAGTATCCAAGCTATTAAAAGGTGGAACTAGGAATCCTATCACCTCCTCAAGTGCCCATCTAGGAACACCGGGCCGAGTGCCACTGGAAGAGTTGGAGAAGGCATGAGCAGAGAAGTGGTTCAGAGGCTGTCCTGGCCAGGAAAGGCACCCTCTGCTAGGGTGACAACCTGCAATGCAGTGGCTCACCTCCCCTCAGGAGCAGCCAGGTGCCTGCTGCTGAGCTCTACCTTGTCACCCACATCCACTGTCACAGGGCATATGCCAACCAGGCACTGACTCTTCAATCTTCTGCCTGGAGTCACTCCTACCACTCTACTCACCTTTCACTGGGCAAAGCAAGTCAGTGGCCAAAGGTGCTGCTGGGAGCCAGGGAAGTAGTCTCCTCCCTCTTGGAGAAGCAGTTCATCACAGGGGAATCACAGTGGGCCAGGCCAAAGGCCAATGCCAGCTAGCATAGACCAGGCAGTAGAGTGGAATGGAGAGGAACGAGGATAAGGGCACAGCGAAGGGAGGCACATTTCACTAGCAGGCAATCAGGTGTAGGAGGACCTGTAATGCACCCGGGTTTGGCCATATGGAGCAGGGGATGCCAGGTCTGTTCCCATCTGCAGCTGGGACTCAGGGAGTGGCCCTGGCTGGAGGTTGGCATGGAGTTCTATCACTGACTCAGTAACAATGATGCCCTGGGCACAGGTTAGACCTGGGGTGTGACAGTGAGGAGGAAAGCAGCCTGAGGCCCAGTTCTGGGGACTAACACCAATGGGTGTATTGCATCTACCAGAGATCTAGGACAGGACCTTCCAAGAGATCTCTGAGGATTTGTGCTCATTCAAAGTGTCCCCTCAGGTCCTGAGAGAGATCTGCTTCTCGGTGCAGCACACTGACTTAGAGACCTTCTCAGAGTGGGGAGCAGAGTCTGCGGCTCACGCCCCCGTCTCCCAGTTGTCGCCCTGCCTTCCTCCTGTTGTGCCATGGCTGTCTTCGTTAATTCTGCAATATTTAGTCAACGTCTCCTTGTGTTTGGCACCTGCTAGATGCTGCCGGAGTTTACAATTAGTGGAAGAGACATAATCCACCAGGGGCTCTATGAGAGGGCATCCGTTGTGGACCTGCCTGAGGTGGGGCTTCCTTGAGGAGCTGAAGTTGCCCAGGGCCCGTCGGAGCTGAGCATCTTTGTCTCATTGAGTCAGTGAGGCCTCACCTGGGGCTCCTAACCCCTTCCCCGGGGGCCTACCAGCATCCCCACCCACCTCGAATAGCAGCACAGAGAGGTGCAGGGAAGGCCGTGCCCCCCAACAATACTACCCTTCCCCACCTCCCGCACACATAATCCCACATGGCGGGACTGTAGCCCTTGTGGATATGTGCCCCAAAGATTCGGGACACGGGCTCAGTGAGTGTGGTGGCAAGATCTGTACTCCACCTAGTGGGCTGTGAGATCTGGACCGCGGCGGCCATCTACTGGGTTAGCAGCATCGCTATTCCTGGCACTGATAGAGCCTTCATGTCTATCAGTGAAAGGACTAACAAAGAAACCAGGCAAGGAGAGGACAGGAAGACTTCCGCCCGCCCCGTGGAGAAGCACTTGGAGAGCATGCGCTGGCAGAACCCAGCCGACAAGCTCAGGTCCAACCCTGAGGGGCGGAGCCACGGCAGGCGGTGGCGTCACCACTCGGGGCGGAGCCTGCCGCCGGCAGTGGCGTACCGACAGGCGGGGCCAGGCCGTAGTCACGTATCTCAGGTTCCCCGGTTGCGGTACCGGTGTGTGTTAGTCTGTGCGTCTTCCCGGGTGCCGCTGTCCCTCTGGCATCATGCCGATGTTCGTCGTGAACACCAACGTTCCCCGCGCCTCGGTGCCGGACGGGTTCCTCTCCGAGCTCACCCAGCAGCTGGCGCAGGCCACGGGCAAGCCGCCCCAGGTTTGCCGGGAGAAGGGACAGGAAGAGGGGTACCCGTCAGCCAGGCGGGGTCGTTCTGGGCTGGGAGCTGGAGAGGTGACTCCAGGAAGAGGCTCTGGGTGCGGCGAGGGTGTGGGGGGCCGTGGCTTGGGCTCGAAGTGGACGCCCGGGAAAACGGATGTCGCTGGGCCGAGCTCACTGTATCCCTCCCCTACAGTACATCGCGGTGCACGTGGTCCCGGACCAGCTCATGGCCTTTGGCGGCTCCACTGAGCCGTGCGCTCTCTGCAGCCTGCACAGCATCGGCAAGATTGGCGGCACGCAGAACCGCTCCTACAGCAAGCTGCTGTGCGGCCTGCTGGCGGAGCGCCTGCGCATCAGTCCGGACAGGTGCGCGGGTCACGGAGGCGGGCGCGGTGGCACTGGCGGGGCGGTGCAGTCGGTTAAGTCCTGCTCTCTCCCACCCCTCGCAGGGTCTACATCAACTTCTTTGACATGAACGCGGCCAACGTGGGCTGGAACAACGCCACTTTCGCCTGAGGCCAGCACCGCTTCTCCTGCACTGGGCAGGACCCAGGTCCTGCGGTCCCCAGCGTTCGGTGCTTGGCCCCTCAGCCCCCATTCCCGGTCGGGAGAAATAAACGGTTTAGAGACCACAGCTGCCTGTTTCCTTGGTTTGCCCAGGCCTCGGTGCGGGGCTCGGACACAAGCAAACGAGGCTGGAGGGGTAAGGATGAGGTGGCTCCTGGGAACCTGCTGTGTTGGAGCCCTGTTGGAGCCCTTTTGTCTGGAGTTTCCCTCCTATGCACTAGCAGAAGCTCCGACCTTTCTCAGTTCTGGGGCAGTCAGTGTTGGGGTGAGGAGAGATTGGCAGTGAGTCTGAGGAGTCTACCTGTGAATCCAAGCCTCCCGGTGAGAGTTCCCAGAGTTGCGTCTGTTTATTCCAAGGGCCACAACGTGGGGTGCGGTGAGGTGGGGCTGGCGTGGAAGAGGGGTCCGAATCTGGGGCTGGGGGTCAGAGGTCATGTGGGCCTGGACCTTTCTCTGCCCTACCTTCTCCCACTTCTAGATGGGCAAAGGGTTGCCATAAGGAGGAAACCCCTCCCACCTAGGGTCACTGCTGGGCTGCTTTTCCGGCTTCATGGCCTGGAAAATCACTTTGTCAGGAAACCTGTTGGGTGTGTTGCTGGGGGGCAGGGGCACAGAGTTCTTGGTTATACTGCTGTGCCTGCCCCCAGCTTTATGCCGGAGTTCCCCTCCAGCTCCCAAGCTCCCACCACAACAGTCGCTGAGACAACACTAGGACTGGGGTTTCCCTTGGTACCATTCATATTCTGCAGTACAAGGACTCTGGAAAGCTTTCAGATGGCCAGTCCACCCTGGGAGGCCAGCGATGGTCCTAGCCCTGAAGGCATTGTCAAGAATTGTCATTGTTGTGGCCCAATGTGATTGGGGTTTCCTGGCCCTGAGTCCCTCTGTCCAAGTTAAGGGGCTCCCTTGGCCTGAGGTGTGATAGGACAGTGGGCAATTTCAGTATCTGTACCTGGACTGCAGGGGCTTACCTTGGCTGAGGCAGGTGGGCTGGGATCCCTCACTGCCCTGAGCTGTGTAGCCCTCCATTTCAGGGAGGCCCAGCCCTAGTACTGGGAATTCATCACCCAGCAGGTGCCAGCATCTGGGTCCTGGCTACATAAAGGTTGTCTCCACTCCTGCATTGTCTGCCCTTGGGGAGAAGTCAAACCTTATGACAGCTTACACAGAGAGGGCAGCGCCTGTCACCACATGCACCCCATTCTTGGGGCTCAAGAAAGGTGGCCTCAAGTCATTTGAGACTCTGTGCCCTTCATTAGCGTCTATCTAGATGGAACATGATTTTTTAAATTCCATGGAATTTAAATAAATTTGCTGTTGGAAGCTGAGGGCCTCTAGGGAAAGGAGGTGTTGCCTGTGCCAAGCCTGTACCCCATGTGTATGGGCAGGGGCTGCTTGAGAGGTCTGGGGCCTGGGGTGGGCACCAGCTCCTTCCTTGGGATGACTGCTGGGGGTGCTTCAGTGTGGCCTCAGTGTGAACACCCACCAGACAGGGCAGAAAGCTCCAGGTGCCCAGCCCTGGCGTGAAGCCAAGGAAAAGTCCTAGGCAACTTCAGAACAACCCAGGCCCCAGGGCCACCAAGCCCAGTCTCAGGGTGGCACTTTGCAGGTGGAGCTACACCCTCTGTCCCTCCCTGCCTTCCATCATAGCTGCCTTGACAGTCCATTCCTTGGGGCCACTGGCTTAGGCTGCCCACTCTGGCAGGCTTGCGACAAGATGCCAGAGGGCTCTTCTGCCTCCCTTGGTCTCAGGGGTCTCTCCCCAGCCCCTGGCCAGCTGGCCTGCCTGGCCCAGCTTTGGACAGTGAGATTTACTTCCAGAAGTGGGGAGGTGATATATAGGATGAGGAGGAATCAAAGCTGAAGGGCCCCTAGAAGAGCGGGATCTGGAAAGGTGTCTAAAGCGAGACATCACCAGCTGACTGTGCACCAGCAGAGGCCTTGCTCTGATACACCTCAGTCTCATTCTGTCCTCTGTCCTCTGTCCTCTGTCCTCAGTGAGAGGGACACCGAGTCACATCTGTCCCTGAGCTGGAGGCGGGGGCGGTGTTGATAGTCCTGGCTATAGTCAGCTCCTAGTCTGAGCCTTAGATTTGAGCACCTGCCGCGTAACTGGGCCCCAGCCTTTGTCACACCTACAGGGCTCCAAGTGACCCCAAGCCCCAGCCTTTCAAGGCCTGAGCCTAAGCTTCACACAGTCTACCTCTGGATCCACACAGTCCCCTCCTCTGCCCATCTCCTGTGGCCTCTGCCCTCCTGGCCTGCTCCATACACACAGGGAGCAGGGTACAAGTCTCCACAGCATCTAGTCCAACTCCCTGTTTCACAGATGAGGTCGCTGCCCCTGGTCCTTGCATGTGCCACTGCCAGGCCAGCTGCCTCCCAGGGTGTGGTGTACACTTGCCCCCATGTCCCCCTGTTCCTCCCTTTGGGCTTTTGCCTCCTGCCTCACATGAACAGGGGGTAGGGGAAGGAGGAAGGTAGGGCGGGCTGGGGAGGGGGAGGGCTGCCCACCTTGCCAAGCACAAAAGGGGCATCTCTATGTCTCCACCTATATTCTTGGCCTTACCAAAGGCAAGTTCCCAAGGCACATTGCAGAAGGCAGCTGGTGCAAGCCAGCCTCTAGCCACATCTGCCCCCTTGGCTCCCCATCCCAGTCACCCCCTGGCCAGCTCTGCTTCCTTCAAAGAACAGGCTCTACTGCCCACCAGGAGGCTGGTCCCAACCTCTAACCCCTGTGACTGCCCCACCAGCATCAGCCTTAGAAACAGCAGCAAAAACTCACTTTCAAGTGATACTTCAAAGTTTGAAGTAGGGAAGTGCTGCCGGTTCTGCCCTTGCCCTGGCAGTGTCCTGTCATCTGCCCTGACTGCCCACAGGGCCAGTCTCACAGGCCTCAGACCCCACTTTGCTGGGGCTGTTCCTTCTGCTTGGACCGCCGGTTTGCCATCTGCCCGCTGTGGCCCTATGCATGCCCTTCTGGGAAGCCTTCCCTGAGGCCGCGAGTGTGGGGCGACACCTACAGGCCTCTGCTCAGTGCGGGCCCTGTTAGCTGAGGTTCCTCCGCTGTCTCCCGCAGTCTGTGGACACTGATTCAGCTCTGTGATCCTTTGTCCCTTCTGGAGAGCGCAGCAGTGCAGGCTCTCCCTAGGCCGCCACCCCATCCCACTGAGTTCCTCGTCACTCCAGAGACCCCCCTCCTTTCCCTTCCCCTGCCCATTGCCTCAGGGAGCATGATGGCAGCCAGATCAGGGTTATGGCCTTGCTCTGCTCCTGCTCCAGGCCTTAGCACCCCCCCACCCCCCCACCCCCACTGTGAAACAAAGGGCATCACCAGATGTCAACCACAAAGGCATGACAGACATCTCACATCCTCAGAGGCACCATCCAGGAAACACCGTGGGAGGGGAGAAGAGAGCAAGTGGCCCGAGGCTGTACTCAGGTCTTGATAAATCACTATTGTTGCTGATTGTCAGCCTTGATGGCAGTGGTGGGTGTGAAGGGACAAAGACAATAAGGTGGCCAGTACCTTCTCTGCTGGAGCCATCTGAACCAGAGTGGTGCTAGGAGGCTGGTGCGGTTAAGGGAGGTGGGCCTGGAGGGGCCACAAGGCTGAAATGTGTTCACTGGGGACTGTCCCCCATCAGCCCCACATTGAAGGGGTCCACCACTCACAGGGCTGACCGGTAGATAAAATTAGTGCAGGGCAGTCCCTCAGGATCAGGGCAGTGTTCTGTTATCTGGGAGAGCTCAGCTGATCCTGGCACTTAAGAAGTTCCCAGTGTTTCTGGACTACCAAAGTCTTCCCTGACTCCTCATCCTGTGGGGAGGTCAGGGCCAAGCCCCATGGCCCTACTCCTGTAAAGGCCTCTCCTGCGATCCCAGTCCCTTTCCTAGCTAAGCAGTGATAAAGCCAGGGCCCAGCCCTTGTGCGAATTCCAGGGCTAGGTTGGGGGCACCATGCACCCCAACGGGGTTCCCTCCTGCTAGGTGAGGCCAAGCACACTTCCCATTTGCAGCCTGTGTTAAACAAAGATTGTCTATTTCAAGCACTAGTTCTGTCCCCTTAGTTTTGAAACCTCAACTCCCATCTGGTGACAATTTGGTCTGGACTTACACTTTAGCTCCCAAAACAATCAGACAGGGCACCAAATTGAAAAGCTACAGATGAGAAGTCTCATCTCCAACATCCCAAGGGTGACTTGGCTTTTTGCATACCTAGCTATCTTCTCATTTTAATAGGTGATATATTTACGTGGCTAAGATTCAAAGTATGCCAAGGGGCACCAGAGAAAAGGCTCCTTCCTGCCACCTCCCCCCACGGGGTCATTAATCCTTTCTCAAATACCCCCCAGAGATATTTTATGCACATACAAGCAAATAAGTATAACACCATGCCCAGAAGGCCTGGCCTTCTGCCCCCAAATGCGTGGAGGACAGACCAGGATTCTGGTGAACCAGGCAGGCCCTGTTGCTGGACAGTTAAGGCTGTACTCTGTTGTGAGGAATCCTGCATGCATGTATATCTGCCCCTGGGTAAGGCCTAGAGGTAGAATCACTCAGGGACACACCATACATCCCTCTTAGAGGAGGTGTCTATGGTGCCACCCACCGGGGCATGGGAGGCCAACCCAAGACCACCTTTATGCTGTCTGAGGGCAAAATGCTTTTCTCTCAAGCCAAAGGTTTTAATCTGTGTCTGTTACTGGGAAGTTGGGATCCTTTTTGTGTGGTGAACAGCCTTTTCCTTTTCTGTCAACTGTCTAGGAATCAAATCTTTAAGCCCATTTCCCTGCCCCTGGATCTTGCTGTTTGTTTAAGAGCGCTTTCTACATTAAAATCAGAGGATGTAATGATTTTCCAGGTTTGCCTCCTGGCTCCTGACTGTGTGGGAGGGTCTTGAGACACACATTCCGCACTGCCCTTCAGTGCCTGCCATCCCTGCGCCTTCTCCATGCCATGATTCTCAAGCTCTTTCCCATGTTTTCTTCCAGGACTTAATGTAGTTTTGTTTTAACCCTTACATTCTTGCTCTATCTGGAATTTCCCATACCTGCGTCGGGTATG